ACAAGATTTAATTCATTTCAACCAAATTTCCCACCATTCTACATCAAATGTGTACAGAGAAAGGACACTGGCATATGAAGCTACTAGGGAAAAAAAAAAAGTTTCCACACTAATTTAAATAATCATTAATCAACTAAAGTGACATTAAATTAAGAAAAAAATTAAATACATTGTACCAACCTATTTAATTAAATAAAATTCATTGTCATTGGATTTAATCAAATGATTCAACATATCAGAATAAAGATCCACTCTATTCATAGTCAATTATATTTGTATCCTTTTAGCAAATTATCATATTATGGTATGAACAGGACTACAAATTTATATAGACATTTTCTATTATCTTACCAATTTAAAGAAATTATTAATTTATCCCATTGGCCCAAGTTGGGACTTGGAAATTTTATTATATAATAGAGGTTATATTGTATATGACGACACATGCAATCGAACAAGAACTAGAATTGTTGACGGGGAAAAGAAGTGAAGAAGAGAGAGAGGACAGAGAGATACGAGTGAGTGAGTGAGAAGAAATACAGTTTATTCAATTCATCAAAAGCATCTTTTTTACAATGAAAACCCACTCATCTCATACTTGTACTAAAAGTCCCTAACAAAATATAGAAAAATTACCTAATAATAGTTAAGGAGAGGAAATAAGGAAAATCACTATATACAATAGCAAAAATTTTCTTATTCTAATATGTGGCAAGTCTTCCATAAACATATATTTATTGATCTTCATCATTTCCCCGCTGAGAGAACTCAACTTCAGCAAGATTAAGTCCAACATCATATAAATACTGTGCTGCTTATAAGGGCATAATGTATACATCATCTGAAAACACAGCTAGTTTCAGAGAGAGACTAGCACATATAACTTGCATGGTGCAGAGGACATGAAGTTGCACACTAGCATACAGTAGTTTAATCAATATCAGAATATGCTTTTCTACCAGTTCGTTCAAGTGTTGTTTCAGCAGAAATGCACATTTAAAGGATGTTGTGAAATATACGAGTAATTGGTATTTTCTATAATATCCTATCACACTCTTTGGACAATCAAACATTTTTAAGGTTTTTGAATGACGCACCTTTTTAGTGACGTCTTATTTTTCCAGTTTGAATTGTCTAGCAATACATCTAGGTAGATCTGTACATAGTCATCAAGTAATAACTCTTTCGAAGATCCAACAAGATTATATAGCACGCAAAGCCATGCAAAGATTTGCAGTCAATTAAATGCTTTTTATTGGATCTACATAAATAGAAACACAATAATTCATGTGACGCAATTACTGAAGCCTCTGGTTACACGACAAACAGAATGGAAGAAGGTAAAAAGCGGCGTAGAGAGGAAAATGGCAAAATAAAGACTTGATAGGGCAATAATATCATGGTTGATCAAAATAATTAAAAGGATACATAAGAAAAGCAATCCAAGTGTGGTGCATAAAGAGAGTTTAAATAGTCATGCATCAAAGAGAGAAAGTTCATTTCCGTTCTTACTTCTGAATAAGTGATTCTCCAGGCTTCCCTTCGGCATGAATTCGTACACCAAAAGACGGTTGTCACCCTCAGAGCAGTATCCAATAAGTTTAACCAGGTTAGGATGATGAAGCTGTCCCAAATAATTAACTTCAGTCTGCAAAATTATCGTCTGGTTATGAAAAGGCCAATAACAAAAATAAGATAAAAACTAACTTGCACGATAGAAAGAAAAAGACGTACCAACCACTCCTTGTGGCCTTGGAACCCCTCGGGTTTCAACTTCTTGACAGCAATGACAATTCCGGATCCCGGCTTCGCAGCTGTAAGAGTGTTCTCATCAATCCATCCTTTGAAAACGTAGCCAAATCCTCCTTCCCCAAGAAGGCTGTCAGGGCGAAAATTTCTAGTTGCATTTTTTAACTCATTGAATGAGAACGACTTAACATTAGCTGATGACAGAATTTCAGCTTCAGATCTTGGAGTAGGAAGGCTGTCAATGCTACATTTTCCACTGTAAGAGGGAATGCTAATGCTGGAACGGTCAGATGAATTACTGGTTTTGCTGAGAACTCTTGAAGCAGCAGAAGCTTGCCAAAAAATAAATAAATAAACGGTAATGAGGATTTTTCTCTTAGGTTAATTTGTTAGGTAGGCCATTCAGGTACATTCTTAAAATAGTAAACACTTTGATACTTCTCCTTAACTCTTAACACTAATTCCGTCATCTTTTCTTCATTTACACTAATACCGTCATCACTGGCGGACCGGGGGGGGGGGGGGGGGGGACATTATTGATGCTCACATGGTGTTGCCACTGGCGGACCGGGGGGGCATGCAAGGTCAATTGACCATTTTTTTTTTTTTTTTTTTTTTTTAAATATTAGGTCAAAATTAAAATAGACAAAGGTCACAACTCACAAACCCAACATTTCTTCCCTGCTTGGCAGACAACGATTTCTCCCTCTCTCACTCGACTCTCAACTCTCGTCTCTCACTCTCCGGCAGCGGCACTGCGGCAGCCCGGCTCTTGCACAGTGCACTCCTTCCCACTGCCGACCACCAGTTCCTTGCTTCTACAGATTCACAGACTTACTCTTTCCCACGAAGTGCACTGTGCACGCACCGGTGACCGGCCAGTCGGCCACCCCCACCTGGACCGCTTCGCGCCTGACCTGCCTCCATGCGATTGCAACAGTCGACGCCGGACCCGGGCTTACCATTTTTACTGACTTGAAAGTTGAAGGTTAGAAGCTTTACTCAAAATTTTTCTTTGAATTCTTCTCGACAGTAACTGCTTAGTGCTTAGCCAGTTAACCTGCTTTGCTGCCGCCTGCCTACCTCTCTGCTATTAGAGATTTAGTTACTTCTATTTCTTGAATTGGATTTATCATTTATGTACAATTTGTATTCAATTAATCATTTATGATTCCTGTTCGGTTTCCTGCCCAGTGCCCAATAAATGTAATTTAGGGATTTCTGAATTCTGATTTAGGGCTTTGATTTAGGAAATTGACCAATTTCTGATTTTGGGTTTGTTACTTATTTATATGTAAATTGATAATATTGATTTGGAATTGGGAAGATTGAAAATTTGAAATTGTCTGACTTTTGGTAGGAAATTAGGTATGACATAGTATAAACTGATTTAGGCATTTCTAATCATGTTGATTTTTCATTTTTGATTTGTTTCAGTTATGGAAAAATACTTTAAACGTACATCTGCGATTTCCTGTGATGAACAAAATATTGATGAAAGGAATGTTCGAAAGAAAAGGGATGAAAACGATGTTCGAGATGTTGATGTTGGGGGTATTGGAGATGTTGATGTTGGAGATGTTGATGTTGGAGATGTTGGAGACGTTGGGGGTATTGGAGAGGTTGGAGATGTTGATGTTGGATTTGGGGGTATTGGTGACGTTGGAAATGTTGAGGATATTGGAGATGTTGGAAATAGTGGAGATGTTGGGGATGTTGATGTTGCACAGCTTCCCTCTGATCCTGGATTGAGAGTTCCAATACAAAACTATGATATTAATATTCGAGATGTGATTCGAAGAGCATATATGCAAAGAGGTCCTTGTCAGCCTCGCAATCATATATTTCCACCCACAAGAATAGGTAAAATAGACCGACGATTTTGTGTTTCGTGGTATAATGAGCATCCCACTTGGTTGGAATACAGTATAGCAAATGATGCAGTTTTTTGCTTTTATTGTTATCTTTTCGGTTTGAATGGTGGTTCATTTGTTAAAGGTGGATTCTCAAATTGGAAAAAGAAAGAATATATAAGAAAACACGTTGGGGCTTCAAGTAGTGCACACAATCAAGCTCGGGTCAAATATGAATTGTTCAAGAATCAAGAACAAAGTATTAGATCTTGTCTCGTTAAACAATCGCATCAAGCTCGAACAAATTATCGAATCCGATTAAATGCTTCAATTGATTGTGTTCGATTTCTTCTACGACAA